ATTCGTTGTGGATTTTGAGGTTGGATTTTGAGGTTGTTACTGGCTTGAATTACACTTGTGCTCCATTCAGAACACCTGCTCGTGAAGTCCAATCTTTCCTCGGTCCGTTTCATCCGCTTCCTTCCGTGACACGTTTTTTCCCCACAAAGGGAAAGTTCCGTCTGTTTTAAACTATGCAAAAACTCTCCCGGGGGCACGAGCTTGGACCGGTGCCAACCGCCTAAAAATTCAATACTGTAGGCGTGTCCTCACACCGGCCAGACCCATTGGACGAAAAAACGGGACGTCTGCTCCATTGCACTTAATGAAATGACGATGAATCAGGTACGTGAAGTTCGCGGGGCCATTGCATTTAATCTGTGTGAAATTACGTTCGCTGAAGCTCGTATCACGAAAGGTTTTGCAGTTCTCAATAGCTTTGTTCAAAAGTTACATCCAAAGCAATAAACTCAAAAGTGCAATATATTTATCTATATCTCGACGGATGTTCTTCCAAACAGTTTATTAAAATGTATGTGTTATGTAAATTTAGTAACATCGTTAAGAACAACTTCAAGATATGGTAATTTTTGTTTGTAAAGTTCTCATCAAGTTTTGTAGAGTTGTAATATTACAGTATTCAGTGTCATGTTGAAGACACTTTTCTAAAGTTAATAATATTTATAAAATATTTCATTGTCTTCTAATGGTTTGTACTGGTCTTTTCTATTATGCAGTACAGAGAGCAAAATATTGGAGGAACAATGAGATATTGAATTTTTGGTCAATCTATCATTTAGGTCATTCGTCAATAGTATTGTATTTTAATGCTGCTCGATAAACAGTTAAGATATGTGCGGGGGACGATGCAGCACGGGCAGTTTTGTACTGGAAAATCGGTATGTATGTACAAGTGCGTATGGAAATATATGTATAACTCTGTCAAATTACAAATTTTTGCTATAAAACGTAGTCAATACGTCAGAAGTAAGGTTTACTAGTGCTCTTTCATAGACAACTAAGATATTTTACTTTTTGGAGGTTCTTCACATAAAGAATCTGAATTCAATGAAGATTAATTTTACGTGGCGAGAATCAGGCCATTTGTCCTGGTCCTCTGTCTGACGTTGCAAACTTCGCTACACTTCTCACGCCATCTAGCGGAGAAAAATGGTATCATCGCGCGACAAAACAGATTTGAATTTGAATTTGGTCAGAGGCTTCCATTAGGCACGAGTACCTTTCGCAAGCTGTGAATCTACAACACGGGTCAGCCGGCTTTGCACTTGCACCTAACGAAGCTGTACGATGCATTTATTGCCTTTAGAAGTCTATGGCTACAATCGGGTTGAACCCGCACACTTGGGTAGAAGATTCCAATACTCTAACCGCTATACCACCAAAGCCGCAACATTTTCAAAATTTGCTGAAAAAATTACAAAATTTCTTTTTTTAATTTTTTTGCTCGAATAGAAGGAAGCTCATTGATAAAAATGGCATGTTTCCAATTTGCACTAAAACCTATGAAATTTTGAAAATTAATCATTTCAAATTTATTTTTGAGTATCTTCTACACCTCCAAAATTAGACATGTTTTCTCGATGGAATTTATCTTTCAGTTTTAGATCTTTAAATAATGTCATGCACGTTCTTAAAACAAAAATGAGTAGATGATGAGGAATAATTACTAGCGCTAAGGAGAGTTCAGTATGCCGTTCAGTCACTCTAGATTTAAGTGTCATCGTGGGCACTCTACGACGAACTACTCTCGTGAGAATATTTTGAGGCGCCGTAGGAAACGGTTTAAACTCACGTACCCTAACATGACAATTTTATTTTATTTCGTATTTTACAAATACGTACTATCTATTCGAGGTTATTCGAGGTTCGCCATTCTGTTTGTTGCAGTGCTGAATTCTAATTTGAGATTTATCACTTAGAGAAATATTAAAACCACTTCATAATTGCGCATTTTATTACGTTTTTGGTTCAATTTTGACAGCAATGCGCTGGAAGGAGATACCTGGTTGAGGAAAATCGCCCAAGTCGTCGTAGGTCGGCACCGGATCTCTGCACTTACGAGACAAATGACCTTAGCAGTTGACGTGCCCGGAATCACTAACCAATCAAGAAATCGTTCCTGTCTGGAGACGCCGACATCTGTGCGTGAAGAAATACCTTGCGTGGGGATGGAACGTCAACAGTCGATTACGTCCACAAACCCGTTGATTTAAAATGAACACACCGCCGCGTTTGAAAACAACATGACTTACATTTTTTCTTCTAAATAAACAAAATGATCGAGTACCAACATTCGACCGGTACCATTACACAATACATGCAGTTTTTTAAAATAGTTGTGTATTTGTAGGTCATTTTGATTAAGCGTATGATTGTGATAAAGTGAGTGAAAATCTGAAAACTGCGGAATGTTAAACTTTTTTCGTACGTTTCTTCGTCTAATTCAGAATCAACAAAAACAAATAGAACAGATGAGAAAAGCACTTCCGGAGATTTTTTCTGAATCACCGGAAATACAAAAAATAAACATATTATTATAAACTTATATAAATTTATTATACGAAAAATATTATTATATTACTTATTCCGTGGCTTAAAATAGCATTAAATCATTCGTGAATTATACCAGAATGTTAATACAGAACTACCATCAGTACAGAATACAGCTTTTACAATACATTTATGTTCAAGTGTGATATCATTTATCGTTTTAAAATTAAATTTGGTATTCATTTAATTCATCACGTTCCAGCGAGAAACGTCATGCTACATTGCATTAAAATCATGTCACCACAGTCTCGTACCTGGCCTAAAGTAACGCCCTGACGTGTTGCCCTCTGTCGGCAGGACGGGGAAGCTGCACTATCCCACCAATGTGTGCGGGCCGCTGTTCGAGGAGGAGCTGGAGTTCTGGGGGCTCGACTCCAACCAGGTGGAGCCCTGCTGCTGGTCCACTTATTCCATCCACCGCGACACGCAGGTAAGGAGCGGCAGCCGCTCTTACATCCAATCCTTGTGCACGACGAAACCGATGCATTTCAACCATGGTGTTTTAGATTATTATTTTTAATGTCATTGGTTCAAATTTTATGTTCTCTCATTTTATTTTAGAGTATACTGCTATTACATTAATCATTTTTATCTTACACACTACTAATGGCCTCCACCGAATCTATTATTACTCGCGCAACTTTTCTCGAACGATGGGTTGAAGAAATGTGGATAGAGTCGGTGTATTAGTTACGAAATCGGCCACTCGATTTTATGAAGCAATGCCAATCTCTGGAGAATATGCTGAATATTTTAATCTCCCGTTCCACATAATGTGTACCACTTCTTACAAAATTATTTTAGTGACGGTATTGAAGCAATGTAAATCCGTTTTGAAAACGATCCTTACCCTCCAATTCCACGCCCTGAACTGGCACTTTGAGGCATTCAAAGCGGCTCTCCAGCTCATGTGGCCGCAGAAGAATATATGTCATAACGCCACGCGGTTTTTAACGCTGCTCCAATGTGAAAAACGCCTGTTGGACAGATTACTATGTGTATGTGCAACTCACCAAATACTTTAGGAATGTATTGTGGTAACACTTAAAATACATTTTTTTATCTGAGAGAACAATACGCTCTCTGGGGTAGTGAAAGGAATTGAAATTAGATTTTATTTCATTCAGTTATAACCAATGCTGGCGAGAGAGTTTCACTCGAAAAATCATTTTTTGGCATATTTTATCATTAATGTAATTTAACCGATATCTTTTCAAAATTAGCTAAATGTCTTATTTTTTTAATGGTACTTCTATTTATCTTTGTTAACCCCTAAACTTCCTTTTGTAAGAAAACTGAGTAAAATATGTATTAAACGAAACTTTGTGATGGCGAATGTTTTTCTATTAATGTTTTGTTATTTTATTGGTCAGTAGTTCAAACTCAAACTTTTTGTAGGAATAATTGTCTTTCGACAGAAATGAAATATTGTAACTTATGTATTACGCTTTTTTGAGAGACAATTCAAAGAGATTTTTAATCAATTAAAAAACTAATGATTCTTTATCTTTTCACCCTTAGAGTCAATTTTCCCCAGAGATAAAAAAGTAGTCTTTTAAAGGACACCATAAGAGAAGTTATAATTTCACTTTATTCGTATTAACACTTGACTAAATCAGAACAAATGAAATCTCGGAATGCACGGCCTGCTTAACCCTCTGAGTGATGTCATCAATTTAGACTTCCCTGGAGGACTTTCGTTTGACGGCTTTTTAAATTTTTTAGATTTCTTTGCCACCTTGAAAAATAAATAGTACATTTAGCGTACAGGCTACTTAAAGAGAAACATTTTAGAGCACTAACAATTGGAGATGTGAGAACCAGATATAATAGATACTACATTAAAGGGAATATAAATCTACATAGTAGAAACGCAACAGTTTGTTGACTCCTTACAAAATTTCAAAGACTTCAGACAACACAGAGGCCTTAATCTATGATACGCACGCTGTTGGATTACGAGTAAGCCGTGTGTCTAAGCAACTATAACAAGGCCACTTTAAGGTCTCCCTAGAATAATTTTATGGTCTTTTGGAGGACGCGGCTTCCAGTTTGAACACCTGTTACTGAGATCTAAGAAATGTTGAAATAAAAAAGTTTAAATTTCGTTTTAAAGAATTTGAAATTTGATGTGTTCTTGAATTTATCGAAATAATATAATTAATTATAATAATCTTATAATATTAATATTAGTATATTAATGACTATATTTATTTTTAGGGAGTTGATTCGTCCCCTGAGTTTTGACTATTTACGCGTAGTACTTCATCAAACATGACAGAAAATCCCCACTTTTAGAACCACGTAATATTTAATTGCAACATGATTAACCTCCTGTTTTAATATTTTTCTCGACATCTAAATAGAATCAATTTTTAATTTAATCTTCTTGTAACAAAAATTGCACATGTAGAGTGTAGATAAAGACCACTTGTTAATTTCCTTAACATATGCATGCGGTAAGAACTTACAATTTCTGCCACATATACACTGAAATTTAGCCTCCCAAATTGTTGTGAATATCATTAGGAAAACACAAAAGGTTATAAGAAATTTATTTACAATGTCTGAGAAATACAAATCACTGAATAGAAAAAGTTTGTTGGAGGCGCATTACAAACAACAAGGATGTCTTACAAACATGGCCTTACAAATTTATTCTTCATAGTTACCTACAACTTATATGTACAGACCATGGAAAATATACTCTTTTTAATTTACATTTCAGAAACATGTACAACTCTGTTCTGTAGTAAACTGTGTTTACAATGAATAGTGATTGTAATTTTCCAGAATTTTTGAACTTTCCTAATTTTATTAGTGTTTGGTATTTAATACTGAACGACATGAAACAACGGGTTTTTGGGGGTTTCTTACGTCGCGACTGTGAAGCTTTTTTCTAACTTTTCTCCAGTCACAACCCCTATGCTTAAGTTGAGCGTGCATCGTTGTTGCTCGAAGTTTTAGATCCGCCTCAACATTCCGAGCTATTTTTCAACCGTATTGATTCTTTGTGTTTGGATGATTTGTTCATAAACTCATTCAGATGTAGATCTAGAAATGTCATAAACTTTTTTTAAATCAGAGGAATTGTTGAATAACTTTAAGAGAAGAAAAAAATTCCGTAAGTTTCGCATTTTCTCTACTTTTTCTTTGTATTTAAACAAAAATATGGTGAGCAATTCTGGTAACAATAAGTTTTAACGTCCAATTAGACTTTTGCGAACTTTTTCCATTCCAAATTAGAACTTGTAATAATAAAATAATCTTTGTAGTTTAACTCAATTAATAAATAAACTTTGTAACACACTTTATGTTGTTTTGAGAGTTTATCTTCTCTTTTGAAACTGCTCAGTGACTTTTGAAACTTCTATACAAGACAAACACCATTTTGACGTACTTAATTCACGGAAAATACACAAAATACAATGACAGGCTTTCAAAACCTGTCGTTCAAACTCGACAGACGTTGTAAAAAAAGTAACACATTTTCAAGAACGACAGTTTTTTAAATTTACAGCTCGGACCAAAGCTGCTGTGACGACAGATTGCCAAAATTTATGGATTTTTTACCAACACTTAGTGAAGCGGAGTTTGACGTCTCGTAGTGCTTTTTCACACTCAATAGGTTGATATTATACCTCCATCTTTTGTTACAGTACTACGTTGATTTCCGAGATCACAATGATGTCACAAATGTTTTAGTAGTAGAATCTGTCAAAATGGCAATTTTTTCTGATTTCCTAATATTCATTGATATATTAATGTCTCACAACTAGTTTTATGGGAGATGCATATTATTAGCAAAGTCATCGATTTTTAATTTAAGAGATAATATTATGTATTGTATTTGGAATAAATAAATTCAAAATTTAGAGTCAATATTATTGTTTCGTTTTAATGAAGTGAATTAAAATATTACCTAACTAATGTCGCCCAAATAGCACGTACTTTCTAGCCATTCCTAATGTAATACTATTTAGACCAAAATTTCCTAATTATTTTGTGTTAATACTCATTTGAAATCCTAAACATTTGGTGCAAAAAATAAGCAGAATGGAAGAAAGTAAAATATTTAAAAGTTAATAAATAATACTATACTGATAGCGTTGGAAAACTAATAGATCGAAAAATATATTATAGTAATTATTAAACACCATGGTATTATAATATTCTACAAATATATAAAAGTATTCATTTTTACTTCAGCGAACTAAATGCAGCCGTCATTAGCGTGGTATCTGTGCTGCGCGGCGTTACGACAGTGGGTTAAAACGACCAACAATGACCTCTCATCTGTTCGTTTTCACAATTAAACCAAATAAAGGATACAATTAGAAATGAAATAACAGAAATATATAGTTAATAATAATAGTAATAATAAAATGAAATGTGAAATCATACGCAACATCCGTAGCACCCATCTGCGTAAATTGGGAGCGGTCAACTGACGGTTAGCAATATCATATTTATTTCAAATAGGTTTTAAATATTTTCTAAAAGATTCTAAACGTTAAACGAAAGCTCCAATGTAATAGAAAGATAATAAAAAATTGATGGTTAGATTTCACAGTCTTTCACAGCCAACTACCTCAAAACACCTAAAATTACGATCGAGAAACGCAGTATTTTCGGAGCGGGCGACTTTGACGCCCAATTACTCTTAGTTTCGAAAATTTTAACCTTACCTTATTTGAAGGTCTGTTTTTGATGAACACATTTCATGAAAAATGTTGTTAATTCATGAAAAATTGTATTTTCATAATTTTAATTTTAGGACGCCCAAAAATGTTTTTTTCAATTGTCTAAAAATTACTGTCTTCAACCAAAATGAGACATGCACCATTTTCTTAAATGTCCATCTTATCAAAACCTATGAAGTCGTTTTTGAGAGAAAAATGTTTAAACAAAAATTAGAAATTGCGTATATGTCACTCAACACTACGCAAATATTACTCAAATTTTTGAAAAGTTTTTAATGACCTTATCTCAAAATCTATCTAAAAAGAAACAGATTTCAATGAGAGGAAATTCACTATCTTTATATTTTAGTTGTGGGACAAGGCGGAAATTTTTTGAATTTATTCAGTTTTTGAAACATTAGCGTTTTCAACCAACATGAGCCATTCTCTTAAACGTTCTTTCAACTAGCCAAACACAATATTTCACCAAAATCGAAGGCGCTATTTTTTGAAAATTTTGAAAATGTCCCAGGGTTATTATTCTGAATCTATGAAATCGAACCTGAAGTCCATTTTACTTCATAACATCAGATTTATTAATTCAAACCAAATATAGTTGTTATAGAAGGTGGCATTGGCCCCTGACGGGATAACACTCATCGAGTTGATTTATGGCATATTGGTATTGCCTATCTCGTTGGCGCCAGATCACTACCCTTCTATCCAAGCGGACTGAGCTTTTTAATTTATTTTTGATGTTATGAGAATAATCTTATGGGTTGTAGTTCAATGAAGAATTAGGAATGTGCACTAGAATTCAAAATCTGATTCAGCAGTCCCAAAAACATATAAATAACATAGACTGATTTGAAATATCCACCATTTTTTTTATTTTTTAGGTTATGTCAAAAATTTGAGGTGCTGAAGTCAAATGGACACCGGGTTTGGAATTAGCGAAGGAAACATAGAAAACGGCCTAAACCGCAGACACGAACAAACATTTTCTTTTGTATGGCTGTGTTATTGGAACGATCTGGGCTTTTACGCCCCACATACAGTTGATCTCGATTTCCAAACTCTTGTATTTAAGACGTTTCTCTGCCTCCTTGGTTGCTACATTTTGATCACATGTACATGCAAGTACACATAATTGTTAATAATATTTATTATAGTAGATAAATTTATTATTATTATTAATATTAATATACATTATTCACAGTATCTACTGGTCGGTATCAACCAGCCACACAAATGATGGACCAGTGTGTTGGGTTGCTTACAAGTTCAGATGGCTTCTACAATACGGCATGTATCAAATTACAACTTTGCATATTATATACATCCTGCTATCCCACGTGAACAATCCATGTGCCCGAAGTCTTTTGGCGATCACTCCTGTAGTGATTATTTATTATAGGCACGTTGTTCACTTTTACTGAATTCACTAGATGCACTTCATGGGCGAGATCGGTATACTTCTGGATCTTCTCTTGATATCTTCCCATATGTTGTGGTATTATAATCGATAAGGGAAAACCTGCTTTTTCTATCAAGTATTATTATATTATATTATTCATTATTATTAATTATGTAGTATTATTATTAATTATTATTTTATTATTATATTATATATATTAATTATTATTATTATTATTATTATTATTATTATTATTATTATTATTATTATTATTATGCTTCCAACAGAGGAGAAATTAAGCTCCTTTGCGGCATAAATAAAGATTAAATGACTATGTGGTAGTGTCAAGCGCATTTGTTTCGTTGTGCGCAGGCGACGTTGGCCATCCTGGACAAGCTGGACATCGACGCGGAGAAGCCGAGCGAGGAGGAGGTGGCGCGCAAGTTCGGCTACGAGGACGCCTACCTGGCCGGCTCCCTGTCGCGCTGGCAGCGCCTCAAGCCGCGCGTCTGGTCGCTCTTCGACGAGCCCTACTCCTCCACCGGCGCGCAGGTCAGCCACTGCTCTTCTATCGGGCGGCAACAGGCAATGTTTAGAGGGATTGGCTATACAACAGAAATGCTTCTTTTCAATTTTTGCTAGCCCTTGGTGATTTGTTTTTATTACAAAGCTTGAACTATTTATCAGATAAAATTATTGTTGCAAATTGATATGTTGAACGGTCCAAAATTATCACGTTTTGTCCATGCATGGAAATCCATGCAATGAAGTTACACACTTGTAACTTGGCGTGTGCGCCTGATTGCTAGGCAACCCCTCATGCACTACTGTTCTTCAGGTAAACAAATTCTCATGGACTGCATCAGAAAGTGGACTGCCAAACACCACCACATAATGGGATGCTTTCCAACAGTGTAGTTGGTGTTTTGCTCTCAAAAAGTCATTTTACCCTCAAAATACCGTTTGAACAATGATTTCCTAAATCATTTAATGCATGTAAATAATTGAAAGACACGCACCTCAAGCGAACGAAATTGAATGTATATGTATTCTGGCTGCGTCACCTTTTGAGGTCGATGACTACTCCAGTAACTGTAGTGCATGTTATATCTCGAGAGGTAAAAGTGTTCCTCCCTCTCTTGAAACATGAGATGCGGCTCAGACCTACTCATCTCGCGGATTATTCCCTTTTAGATTTCTCTCCCATTGGAGCACGCGACAGCCGGAGTACGCTCTAAGCTCCTGACTGGTCACACTACACGTGCGATACCGAAGTCCTTCAAAGTAAAAGTGCAAATGTGCGAGGAAATGTGTGAGGAAGGTTATTGTCCTGTTTGGAAATGTACTGCTTCAGCAAAAGCCTAGTATTTATTGATGAAACTACGGAAAACTACCGATCGGAAAAGTCAGCTATAACAATTCTTGTCCAGCCATTGTTTTTTTCGACGTAGCTATGAAATTATTGTCACCGAAATTCTTTCCAGCCGGGGCTCGAAACTTATGACTTCCGATTAACGATGCTACATAGGCAACGATATTATCGCAAAAGTATTTTAACGAGTCACACATAGTTATTGTGCAGTTCTCCAGAAATAAGAAAGGGTCGCATACACGGGCGGGATTTTGGCATTGAGGTCGGATTTCCCCGATCTCTCGAGTATGTGTGTGGTTCTGATACTCAGTCTTTCTTGGTGATTTCATCAGTCATGTCTCGCGAATTTTTAACAGAGTTCATTTAAATTCTCGATAATAAACCTTGTTTATGGCAAATTCGTTTTAAAAATTTTCATAATCGAAATAAAAAGAACAGAAGTACTGTGTTAGCCTTGAAAAATTATTAAGTAATTTTCATGAGGATTTCATTTAGAAAAAACTCTAATATGTGCTGGTAAGGGTTTGATACGGGAAATCGCAAGGCAATGACGGAGGCTTTTTCTTTGAGAATTTTCTTTTGAGAATAAATGACTACATGTAAATTGACTGTTGAAAACCTCTTTGTTAGATTCGGTACAGAGAATGTTACATTATTCCTCCCCAAAATGTATATGAAATGTAAATCGTTTTCTTGGCGTAATGTATTATTATTAAAAGTTAAGATCCAAGATCACAGAAGTTCGAAAGAGACGTCGTAACTCCCGGTTTAACAAAACTATAGCAGACGTCGTTCTATAAAAACGTCTACTCAGTTCTAAGTCCGTCTTTCGGGGATTGCTCCAAAATAGGTCAGATCGGATCTTCCCTTCCTGCGAGATCAGAGGCACTGCCTGAGACTATCTCGTAGTATCCATGGAACTCCCTCGGCGATAACTTTCCGAAAGGAGACATTAGTATAATTTTATTTTCGCTCCGCGACACACTGTTGGCCGACATAGAGGGCGTCGCGTATGATAAGTGGCACGCGAGGGGTCAAATATTCGAGAGAAAGCGTAAAATTCATTCAGGCCGATATGAAATGGAATTTGAAAGTTTGTATAACATAGACATAACTACTATTATCTATTAGAAATTTCCAAATCGCGCAAAATGTAAAGAAAACTACGCAGCCTCTAGTCATGTGGGGGCGTCGATGACTTTGTAAAATGTCCTGGAAATCCGGAAAAAAATGTATTCGATTTTCATCGAAAAATATTAGTATTTGTGTTATTCCACCTGATTCCATACTACGTATACCGAATCAGATTTCATTATTAGTGTATCACGGCTTATGACACGTCACAGCTGAGTTCATTCGACAGCAAGGCTCAAGGATGAGGCCGCCTACTGTTAAAAGCTTGGTATTTGCATGAAGGTCATATAACAGCAACTTTTTTTATGTCCTTGTGAGTAAAGGACTGCTGTACTTTACTTGTATTACTTGTATACTACTTGCATTTTCTATTTTATTGCACTATTCGTGAAGACTGTTGTCAAATATTTAATTAATTGCAGTATTTAGAGGGATTTAATAGACAAGGAGGGCAAAAATATTTGAAGATGTAATAATTATACGAGTAGCCATTGCCAACCATATTATTGTATTGTTCTGTAATATGACGACTTATAATTATTTGATTGTAAATAGCAACGATAACTCCCCACAATACCAATATTTTAATATTTTTTTAAGTCATACTTTGGGAATTTAAATAATCCTTGCATGAAAAACATGAGTATAATTGTCCTCATTCATATAGATATTAGACCATATGTAAAAAAAGGGGAAAACTATAAATTAGTTTTTTAAGTATGTCCGTTTTTTAAGTATGTTTCTCAGACCGTAACCTTCAAAAAATGATATTATGGATACTTTCCATTTCATTATTTTGAGATTTTTCTCTTTAGATATCCCCCACTATGAAGTATGGCTTTTGGAAATAATCTGGAAGTCCATGTAAAATTATATTGACTATTCGCTATCTTGTGCTAGTTAATTACATGGGTTCAGCAGTCACTGTTTGTTAGCTAGCAACATCAAAGACTCGTGAATGGCTACTAGAAACTAGTAGTATTACGTGCTTTTACTAAAGCCAAAACAAAATTGTTGTGTATAAAAGAAAATATTATTATATTTTTATATAAAAAAATGTACCGATGATTTTTCATAATATAGCAGCGTATTAACAATATAACACTAAGAATGAAGATACAACAAATATTTACAAATTTATTATAAAAGTTCAGAATTTTCGCAGAATATTCGCAGTCAAAGAAGCCGTTATAACTCAAATTATTTTTAAAAATCTAATAAGTTGCAACAAAGTTTTATCAAATGTGCGTTAGAAACAAAATTAACTATTTCTAGCACCCTAAAAATAAATTTATGTTTAAATAAAAAAAGAGCTAATAATTGTTGAGCTTTTCACACAGGAGTGCGAGGGCAACTACTTAGCAAACACAGCAAATATACCCCAGCACAGCCCCGAAACGACAGATGTAAGACACATATCAGAGCCAGTCAGTTCTAAATTGGATTCCAGTACAAAGCCTTTTACGTTTTCTTCTATATAAGTGACACCTGTTTTCTTCATACTTCACCTTAATGTGAACTTGGAGATGTAAACGCCCAGTTTTTATCCATGTTGTCTTTGATCTTCGTGCATTCTGCTTACCTAAGGATATTGCATCTATACTTTTATCAGCGTACGTTTATCCTCCATAAAAACACGTTTATCCCATCCTGATCTTGATCTTATGAAATTAACTATGTACGCCACTCCATACTCATTCCTTATATCTTGATTATTTATTCTATTCTATTTTGTTTTACCTGTTATTGCTCTTTAAGTACTCATATCTTAAGTTGTAAGTAGAGTTTTAGTTCTTATCGGCCCGTTTGTCTCGTCCACAAGTCATTACAGGTCTAAGTATGGTTTTGTATATTTTACTTTCTGTAGTAAGAAGCGTATCCGGTGAGATGGCGAAGATCGTTGAGGTGGTAGCGCCGAATCGGTCTCGGACCAGAAGTAATATATATATATATATATATACACGTGTGCACGTGTGTGTGTGTGTCTCGTCCTTTCATACGTCATCATCATTTCATCGTCCTCACCAGCTAACAACCTTGCACAACCTTGCAGGATGCACGCGTGGTCCAAGTTTGTCAATATTCGAAAAAAACAACTTATAACTCCGGATCTCGAATAAAATAGTTATTTACGAAATAACAAAATATTCTCACTGGTCCAACTAGCACTAATATTGTAATTACAGAAACTCAGTGACACTGAGGGATTTGAGGCGTGCGAGGGAGGTCTGCGTGAGTGTGGACTTGGCCCGCCACCCCGGAGGGAGCGCTGCACGTGGCGTCGGGAAGTAATTAATTTAGTTTCACCTCCCACAAAGGAAATTAAATCATTTGGAGATTAATTAAACAAAAATTAGCGGTTAATGAATTAATTTCGTGCTCGACGTCCCTTGCAATTCCCATTTCTCGCATCCACCAGCGCCCTCGCTGCGCTGGATGCGGCGTTGAGCAGGTGGTGGCGGCGCATCTCGCGACTCTCATGTTTCACGCTTTCGCGCCCTTTTGATTCGCGTTGTAAAATAACAGACCGAGCACTCACTATGCGGGAAATTAACAATATTCTTTGTTGTATACTAACATACGTGTTTATTAGTTTCGAGGTGTAATCATTGTTAAGATGTGTTCAGGATTTCTAGATGAGAAACCAGCGTTCACAGGAAAAAAAAATACTCTCCATAATCAGCTATTTTCTTCCCAGAAACGATGTCGCGATCCTGAAACACTGCTTAGAAAAGTAAAAGAAGCGAAGTAGGAGACGAATTGTATGTCAGGAAGGCAATGAAACACCTTCGCTGAATGTCGAAAAATTACGAAAAGTGACGGGTGGTCATAGGACTGACAATACTCCACATGAAATGTAAACTACAAGTGCTACAACGGAACGTACTTTTTTGCGTTATTTGTAACGGTTACGATACATTATTATACTATATTGAATATCTAATAAATACGAATTCGGGCTGGCAATTGAAATCAGGTCTTAAGATTTAACACTCATCTCAGAACACGACTACACTGCAAACTCCCTCAGCCTAACTCCTGCTTT